ATCGACTTTTCCGGAAAACTGGAGGGTGATGGGAAAAAACGGAGGTCATATTCGGATTTAGCGCCTCAAAATACATAAAGATCACCTTATCTCGTCCGGGAGACATTTTTGTCATTTTTTTTTTGTTGCACAGTGAATCAGTGAGTATTAATACATTTGTTCAACTCAAATTGATGCCATGCCTACTCTAGTTTAGTCGCATTGAGGATTCGTTCTAATTGGAGGTTACCCTGTTCAAGTGTTCCATATCTCTTTCTACTGTCTTTGATATTTATTCCAATGAGGGTCGCAAATAATCAGTGGCTTACCAATTTTCTCAGGAGTCTTAATATTCATTTTTAAAAAAAATAAAAATAAAAAAAGTATGCCAATATACTTTCGGGGGAGCTTTACCGCACAAGAAAATGGCTTAAAAAGTTAAAAGTTTAATTGATTACTCACTTAGGCACAGTAAGAAAATAGGGATAGTATTGAGTAATTAATCATAAATATTTGTATTGGCTGTATATTTGTTATATTCATTTGTTACATATAATTTAAATTTATTCAATAAGTCAAAAGATACTTCATCATGCTTTGAAGATGAATCTGAAAGATACAAAATGCACTAGTAAATATTTCATTTTTAATTTTTATCATTGTTTTCCCTCCCGCTTCTAGACAATGGATATAGTCTAACCTCGTTTATCACAAATTCAAACGGGTGCAAACTGTACAGTCTGGTATGAACATATCTGATATTTTCTGTTAAATACATATTCATCAGTAACAAATTAATCTAAAAGCAAATGAATCTTTCAAAGCTAATTGCAAACGTAGGGAGGAGAATCCATGCATAGTATGAAGATAAACGATGAGTACCTAAAGAAATATTAAAAAAAAAATAATTTGTACCTAAAATGTATAATTTTGACAATAGTCCAAGACAATTTTCCCCCGTTGCTTGCAGATTCTATACAAAACAGGATCATTTGACGATGAGTTATCGGTGCTGACAACTCGAGGATGTGAAGACAGTTCGTATTCAGAACCGGATGAAATGTGCGATCTTGATACCTTTTCATCCGTGTTGCAACCTATCATGATCACCGATTTTGATGACGCCTGTCAAAACCCACAATAAAGTGCCACACGGTGTGTCTTGTAGAGTTATGCATTTTTATTTTGTTTCTCTTTTTTTCATTTTAACTCCAGCATTACTAGAAGGGACAAAATCGAATTGAAATATTTGGTTTACCGTGAAAAATCCAATGAAGATGTTGCATGAGTGAGGAATTACGAGTAGCAATTTGACTATTGATTCTGCTGTAAAAGTTCGCGAATAATACGATGGTGCCACTGGTTTTCTCTAAAATTAACTCCCAAGCTCAAAAAAGCTCTCAAGTTGAGACCAAAATGGAGGGAATATCCCACGCTATTCTGAGAGTCCATCTCTACATAAAGACAACCTCTCCATGCAAAGATAGGGAGCAAATACATTAGCAGTGATGCAGTGTTCTCAGTTTTAGAGTCCCCAAATAAAGTGGCAGCCCTGTCAATGTATCTGCTCCCTATCTTTGCATGGAGAGTTTGTCTTGATGTAGACGTGGACTCTCAGGAAAGCGTGGGATATTCCCTCCATTTTGGCCTCAACTTGAGAGCTTTTTTTGAGCTTGGGAGTTGATGTCAGAGAAAACCAGTGGCACCATCGTATTTCTCGCGAACTTTTACATAAGAATCAACAGTCAAATCGCAAATTCCTCACACATGCAACATCTTCATTCTTAATGATCGGCTAGAGTAAACAGCACAAAAATTGAGGTATCCACACAAAAAAAATAATATAAAAGAATTTGAAAAATCTTGCACAATACGACATACAGAGCAGATTGACAGGAAAGTGCAAAATCTTACGCAATCCTCAGTATAGGGCTTGATTTTTTACATTTTTTCCTTTGTTTGCTGAGTATAATTTTAAACGGCAGTATGCGCACTTAGCATTAATCGATCGAGTAGGGCGGCGAAAGTCATATTCAGGTGTCGAATTTAATCAGTAAAACCACTTTGATTCACTTCACTTAATCCTACCTTCGCATAGATTTAGTTCCATCCGTTTTAAAAAAGAGGTTTTACTGAATTCTTGCCATAGATAAGATATTATTTTGATATTGAAATGCGTCAAAGACTTTATTTCTGCCAATCCATGCACCATCTTTTTTGTGCGATTTGGATGTCTTCTTATCAGCGCTGGAACCTACGATTATCACTGACTTAGATGAAGCATGTGAAAACTCAAAGTAAATTCGAGGATTTTTTGTAGCGTTTACTATCGTTGTGTCAAAAGTGATGATCGGAAGGTTTTATGAAATGAATTTGTCCTTGAAAATGTGTTTTTAATTTCTAAATTCAACTTTTGGGGGGATAACTGGTTTGTAAAATCTCATAAAAATGATACGGAAAAGTTTCACCAGGTACATGATACTCTTCAATACAGTGTGAGGGATGAGAACAGTGGCTGCGTCCTTATGTTTCAACCGTTTAAACTTCCGCAAAATAAGCATATTTAACGGCAAGGTGTCTGCTGGTCCGGAAAATTCGGAAAGTCCGGAAATAATATTGCTTTTTTAAGGGCGGTCCGGAAGTACTAAAAAAGTACAAATTTTCCCTCTGAATGTCCAGAATTTTTTGCTTCATGCCACGGGTGTTTTTAAAACAGCATGGAAAATATGTAATCCGTTTCGCGAGGATTCTTAGTGCAGTGTTTTCCCGCTAGATCGAGATTGTACAGCCAGTTGATCCTCAGGCCACCAATGAGCTTCAAATTTCCTGGGTACGTCATTGTTCTTGCGATTTGCGGGAGAATTTCGACACTTTTCGAATCTCCTCACTTAAAGGTACCAAAACAGTACTGAATTTTTCTGCTTATGAGGTACTACATTTTTTAGAAAGGTACTAAACAAGCACTGTAAAAGTACTGAATATTTGCCAGCCAGTTTTAATAGACACCCTAATTATGCGAACGACACAAGAATCCCAATATGGGAAGTTGGCAGTTTTGAAAACGCCTTCAATTATGGCGTGATACCTCACGCATTCCAAAGAGTGCGAATAGTTGTATCGTTGCGCCTTAGCAATGCGATGGAAGATTAATATTGAAATAGCCTCCACGCTAGACTTGTCGGTTTTCCTTTGTAGTATTGATCGCACAGTTTTAGTGTCCTCAAGCTAGGATTGTATTTAGCAAATGGATGATTCTTATAGAAGAATTAAAAGTAAACAAGCGGTGAGAAATATAATTAAATAATATGAACTCAAATCAACAATCAGCGTAAAGGTTCCGAAAATTATTGAATTTTTCCTACTTTGAAAATTTTCGCTAATAAGCACGAAACTCGGCGTCCCTTGTGAAACTCGAAATCCCTCATTTAATCCTTCTCTCCTGCTCTACTTTGGTTTTTGAAGTACTTAATGAGGAAGTTGTTTTAGGAAGTCGCTGATGAACCACAGAATTAAACATTTAATTGATTTATAATTCTCAATTTTTTCCTTATGATTCCCTCTCAAGTGGAAACTTAAATCTGAAACTGACGATCTAATTACACAACAGGATGAAACTTTTAATTGTTACATAGTTCTCGATGTTTCCTTCTTGGATCCGTTTCAAGTGGAATTTTAGATCTAAAACTTACGATCTGTGTTTAAGCAGCCCTCTTAAAATTTCGGAGGGATTTGGTTACTCTGATAATCTAAGGAGACAAATATTGATAGAGTGCATGAGTTAGGATAAGCACAGATATTCATAAAGTGGTTCTTCTAGCTTTTTTTACGCCTGTATCTAACAGCACAACCTTAGCACAATTAGCACATCTACCTCCAGAATTATTGTGGTCCGTTCTCTCCTTAACGTCTGATAATTTTAATTTCTAATGAAATATTGCACAATAGCCTCACAAGTTCTTAGTCAGTCACAACTCTAAAATTTTGTGTCACAAATATTAAAATTTTCCCGTGTAACATCATTGTGTAGACGGCGTGGTTAAAATCCCTTGAGCATGCAAAAATACTCCTCACTTCCCATCACAATATTTTATACGTGAGAAGAGATGAGAAAGAAAAATTTGATCACTCGTAATCTGTCCTGCAATAAGTTGATTTTCATAATATTAGTTTTAATTTCCGCTTTGGCTGGGTGCATAGGACTTTTTTGGCTCAGACGTGGTTCTTCTGCTGAGTCGACTTTAAGATTTGTGAGCATTGTAAGTACGCCCTTTTTTATTTATTAAATTCTCCCAATACTCGTTGATATTTTGAGCAGTCATGAAAGGTAAAAAAGAGGTCCATCGGGGAAAGGGCTAGTTACCATGCGCATGACTAGTAGGTCTCGAAGGGATACCTAGCCCCCAGAATAATTTTAACCTCACAGTATCAGAAGGCTTCGGTAAAGGATGCTACGTATTGCTACGTCCTTGACCCATTTACAAAAGTTTTTCAGCTGCGATCGTTCATGCTATTCAATCCAAATATATATGTCCCTTCTACAAACACAAAACAATTATGCCTGTATGTCATTTAGTGCCCCTAAACTCTTGAAAAAGTAAATGATCTCATAATTCAACGCGCACATAATCGTAAAACATACAAATTGAGACATTAAACGCCAATTGTGTGCTTAAACCATTATTAATTCAACTTCCTGATGTAGGTCCATCGACATGGTGACAGGGCTCCCACAGTTTCATATCCACTAGATCCTTACAAGGGAGAATCATTTTGGCCGGAAGGACTGGGCAACCTGATACAGGTAAGTGCTCCTATTCAAAAGGTAGGTCAATGATTTTTCGTTTGGAGAGCTTTACCGCTTGTATAGCTTGTGTTTCGCTTGTATAGCTGAGTCTACCGGCCATTGTCTACAGTGTACTCAAAAATTTACTATGAAACTTCTGTATAATTATTTTTAAACGTCCCGAACTAACTTATATGACTCGATGAAATGCAATTATATGACTGCAGAGCGACGTTAAAAAGCCCAAAATGGGTTTTTCGTGTCAAATATTCGATTCTCTGAAGATATGGGTTTTGACAGAGTTTCTGCTATAACATGCTAAGTTTTTAAATTGATTTAAAAGCTCCGGGAATGGACAGTTTGATGAGCCGTTGTCTATAGAGAATCAAATTTCATGGTCTCTGCGACAGTCCCGCGAAAACCTTACGTTATGTTAAGGAGAATACACCGCATCTGAATTTCTGGGTTCTCATACAAGTTGCGACTTAAAACTATAAAAAACGCTGCGAGCGCTTGTTTTAGCTTACGCTTTAATTATTTGAGAGTGAAGACAAATCTATAATAAAAAAAAGTAAGATTGGCTCCTTTAGTTTCAAAACTTCCTCTTTTTTATTGCACAAAAACTTAATAGCTAGAATCATTCCCTTAGAACGCGCGGAATATTAGTAAACTTTTTTTGGTTCACATTTCTCAAATGCTCATTTTGTTCATTGTAGAAAGGAAAAGTACGTATGTACGAGTTTGGGCGCTTTCTGCGACGACGTTACGACGGTTTTATTTCATCAAAGTACTCGGCGGCAGAAACTTATGTAATTTCTGGTATGCGTGACAGATTCATCATGAGCGCTCAACTGGTTTTGGCAGGATTGTACCCTCCGAATGGAATTCAAATCTGGAATCAAGATCTACCTTGGCAACCAATTCCGGTCCATTCTCTCCCTCCATCTTGTGATGATGTGCGTAAAATTCCTCCCCTTCATCCATACAAGCTACGAAAATGATCACATTGGTCGATAGGTCTCCATGAACTCCCAAACAAACTGCGATTTCAAGAATTCCGATATAAGTTGCCTCCTCTAAATTTCATGCAGCCCCCGGTAAAATGGCGACTACACGACTTTTCTGATTACGTATAGTCACTTGGGCACCTGCAATCATTTCAAATTCCCTAAAATGTTTTGCCAGGCATCGGGGAACTCGTCAAAAACGAACCAAAACGTGTAGTTTTACGACTTATGAAGCTAAATGAGAGCTTCTCATCATCTCCGTAAGTCTTGAGTTCAATTTTGGTTATATTATGTAAATACATAGAATATTTCCAAAAGTCTGATAATATACACCGTGACTGTGCAACCACGTATTTGGATCAGTCGTGTAGTCGTCATTTTTATCATTATTCGGGCAATGAAAGTTATTGCAATTAACTCCTCACCAAAGGATTTTAAAGTTTTTATTAGATCATGGTCTAGTGGTTGACTCGCTTCTAGACATCGCAGTACCGATGGAAAAGATCTAGACTGAGATCAGCGCCAAATAACCATAGTGATGTTATGATGTTATAGAATCCATCCATAAATATTTAAGAACACAATTAACCCATCTTAGATCGAAATGTTACAAAAAAAATGAAGTAATCGACGAAGGAGCATCTTCCGGTATGCGACACTATGAGATGCAGAATGAATGAAATTTTCAAAGTTCTTTTCAGTTTTGTGAAGCAATCTTACATCCATAATATATATCACATCTACATAAAATGTATCTATATCTACATCTTTAGTAAATATTACATTATTGTTCATATCTGAAAAATTTTAGAGATCAAAGAGGGTACTCTCGGCGTAACCACTCGAACAAAAATTTTGGTGCGAACCTCAATTAAAACGGCAGTCAATCAGACCCAGTATTAATTTTTTATCATACGAGCTATAAGCTAAATTAATTGAAGTAAGTGAAAACTTGACTGTTATATGTGCGAAAAGCTACCTATAATTAATAAGTACAAGTAAAACAACTTAATTTGAAAAAGGCTTGAAAAAGCATGAGCTGAAAGCTGACAATTCTGGAACTACTCAGCGCCCTCATGCAGGTTGAGGATGTGTCTGGGTATGTAGCAATGACAGCAAGAACGTCTATCGACACTCTAGTTTTCTATTTCACCCGCTATTTCCTTTCTTAATTGTCAACGGCTTTAAAAAAAATTAGTTTTTACTCTATGTTTTCCTAGCCTCCTATCGTTTCAAATTCTTTAAATCGTTCAGGTGTACATGAAGAATTTTTTCTGATTTTTTTGCAGATGATTTGCGTCACAAAGTACTGCTGGTTGCTTTCAAAAGAGGCGGAACAATGGAACATCTACCTAAATAATGAAGTTAAGAAAGATCAAGAATTTCTCTCCTATCTTTCAAAAAGTATTGGCGTTGAATGCAAAACAATAGAAGACGTTACTCATATTGCGGGCAATTTAGATGTCGTCGTAAGTGCTTCAAACGAATGCCCTGGTAAAAATTGGCGATAGAGGCTACGTTTCAAAATACCATAGGAGTTCTTACAGCCGACTGAAAAAGGCTATTGAAAATCATATAGCTGGCTGTAGAAAGCGGAGCAAATCATATAGCCGGGCTATGCGAAGCTATAAAAAAACATAGAGTCGGGCTATAGTTCCTATCGCCGGGCTTTACTCTTTATCGCCATTGGCTATAAAAGGCTATAAGAAATTGTGTAGAAATTCGTGTGCTTTGGAAATCATTAAGTTTGATACGGAACTACCTTGATATTTACAAAACACACATTATATTTTCCTTTAAAACATTTTTTTTCATCAATTAAAATGAGAATAATCCATACAGAGTGTGCAAACATTTCAAAATCATGAGTTTAAAAACGCTGACTCTGCGAGATTAAATATTAAAGCGGAGCGGAGCGGCGACGCACTGGCGCCTACAAACCTAACAGGGATACTTCACGCATTGCGCAATGCGTGAAGTATCCCTGTTAGGTTTGTCGGTGCCAATGCGCGTTTCGCGCTGGCTGCCCGCCCGCCGCGCCGCAGCGTGCTACGGCGTCTGAAGCAACTATTTCACGCCAGTGGTATTGCACAGTATCATAAGAAATTGAAGGCGCTCCAACATATTGAGAATGACATTCATCCTTCAAAAGTACGGAGCTTTCCTCGTAAAATAAATCAAGATACCACGGTATAAAAAGAGAGCGGTAGTCCAAAAACTCACTGAGTCCTAGTATCCGTATTTAGTAACGTTTAGCATAAACTTTATCGTCTAGCTGTTGCTTAATCGCCATCGGCTATAAAAGGCCATAAGAAATTGTGCAACCGGCTGTAGAAGCTATTGGAAATCTTACAGCCAGCTTTACGTCTATGGTATTTTGGAACACAGATTCTACTGCCAATTTTTACCAGGGTGATTTTAAGTTTTTAAAAAGTTTTCCAACGACAGCTACATGAAGACGAAAAGAATACAAGACGAGGGGAACAGAGGTCAGTGATACCAAGCGCCGCGTGAATACCAGTGATCCGTGCAGTGCGGATCGTCCCTATACCGGCATGGATCGAGGACGGACCAAAAGCTTATGGGAAAACGCTTCCTCCCTATCTTAGATATAGTCCGTAAGCGTGACGTCACTGAATGACGAAGCACTCGAAGCAGCCAATGGCAGCACAGAGAACGGCAGTGCGAGCACCCGGGGACACTGACAGGGGTGAATGGACAAAATAACAGTAAGCCCATAACTTGTATTACTTTGGCAAGCCCAGTAATATTTTTCAGTGGGAAGAAAAACTATTTGGAGAAAAAAGTAATAAGAACAACAAAACATAACAATAAAGGTAGATTGCAAAGTACCCATTAAGTTAAATGACTTGTTTACGTATTTTATTACTCAACAGGCAACGAGAGGATAATTTTAAGAGTTCAGGCTGATCAAGGCGAAAAAGCTTCATTAGTAGAAGTTACCCTCTGTCGCCATCTTACTGAGGCAGTAATTGAGGATATCCATTCGTCTCCGTTGCAATTTCTGGCAAATTGTGTACACACAATCATAAAATCGGCGGAATCTACTAGGTAATCAGAGAGCTAATCTGCCGTGCTCAGGAAGAACGCCGTATGAGCCATCAGGCGTTGCCAAATTTCCTCCGGAAAACGACAAATTTTCAGAAAAAATTTGTGAATATCTCTCCTCTGATTTTTCGCAGGATTTTATTCGAAATTTTATCTAAAAGTCTGAAGATTTCGAGGAAATTTATTCAGATTTTACTTCAAAAATAAGATATTTTATGAGAGGTTTAACAATATTATTCGAATGTTCATACGGCGTTTTCCCTTAGTACGGCAGTAACGCAAAGCTTCAAGTATGACTGCAGTCATATGAAATCTAAAAAAACCACAAAAGGCCGACCGCATCTTAGCTCGTTGAAACGAGAATTTTCGAAGCATAGTTATGTAAATAAATTTTATTTTCAGAGGCAGCAGGGATTTCCATTGCCGAAGTGGGCGGAAGATGTTTATCCTGATAAAATTCACTCGTTCGCCAAACTCAAATACTTGCATCTTCATCAATCATCAACTTTGATAAAACTTTCCGCAGGTGCTGGTCAAATTTTGAGAAATGTTTGAATAATTCCTAAACGATAGTTGATGAAGATTGCTTCCTCTTTTTAAGATTATACTTTTTCATTTAAAAACATTTTTCTTTTTCTTCTTCTTTCTTCTCAGCCCGGCTATACTTTCAATTTGATAAGTTTTTAAAATGCGTTCTTAAGGACACGTATGTCGCGTTTTAAAATCATGGGTGCATCTCAAGTACACTTACTCCAAAGACGTGACAATAATAATATGCGGGATGCTTACTCTCAGCGCCAATGATATCTAAAACCAGCTTTTGCAATAAAGAAAAAATAATAATGTTAACTTGTAAGCACCTCATTATAGACTAGATAAATATTGTAAGAAAATGTACTATGCACGGAAAAAACGAGCTTAGGGTTGGGACCTACATGTTAGTGCTGGGCAC